AACCGTAAACGAGCCAACGACCCCCCGCACCGCTCTATCTTCGCCATCTCCGCGACGACCGGAAGTGGAAGCCGCGAAGTTAGAAAAGTCGCGGCAGCGGAAGCCACTGGGCGGAAGCTTTAAGTTTCGGTTTCGCTTTTCTCCAACGCAGGCTACGGTCGCTACGGTTTCGGGCTGGTGGGTTTGTCGGGTTTGTGGCTGGTTGCGACGACGCGAGGGGCCACGAAAAGACGCTAAGTTGGCCGAGTACGAGTCACGGCCCACGATACAAGCAACGGGCCGTTTGCCGCTGTCGACCGGCGATGCGGTATCCGCGGCTTGGTGTCACGATCGGTTTGTTGCCGTGCACGTTGACTCAAAGCTCGAAGTTATGCAGTTCCGTTCCGGCACCAGCCGCACCACGTTTTCCGGTGCATCGCACGTGGAGGCCTTTCGACGCATTCAGTGAACGTAAAAATCGTGCCCGCTGTCTTCGGTGCTGTGGAAGAAGTTGGGAGACGGAAGGCGTTTAGGACTCCAGGCAGGGCCGCCGGTTCACTCTGAACGAGAGGCGACGTGTGTGTGCACGCTTTGAGGAAGCCTCCGTGTTTCGCCGCGCTAGACCTCGCCGATCGCGACCGGACCAACCGGACCCCGAGTCCGAGAGGCTCTTGCGGAGTCAGGAACTGCATCGAGGTAGGAGCTGCTCGTTCTGCACTACCATGCAGTGCTCTACAGTGCTCGGAGCTCTCGGTGTCATTCGTGCTTGCACTGAAGCCTTTGTGACCCCTTCGGACGCGCAAGTCGTACTTCGGAAAGGTTTGGACGGGGCCGCCCTCACCGAGCAGCTCCGCTATATTCCGCTTACTTATGATCGCAATAAAAGCTTGCGTTCTCGGGAAAAAAATTGCGGGACCGCTCTCCGCGCCGCCGACGAGGTTGGCCGCCGCCGTGTTCTCAGCTAATCATGTCGTATTACACCTGAGACTGCGGTGGAAGAAATCGGAAGAACTTTCAGTAGAAGGAACAGACACAGAGACACAGAGAAGGAACAGACACAGAGAACACAGAGACACAGAGAACACAGAGACACAGAGAACAGACACAGAGAACGTTTGAGACGTTCTCTGTGTCTGTTCCTTCTACTGAAAGTTCTTCCGATTTCTTCCACCGCAGTCTCAGGTGTAATACGACATGATTAGCTACCACCAGCTCGCCTGCACTCTCACCGTCTTTTCACTAATGTTCTCAGCTGTTCACTCGCTCACGCAGCGAGCGCCTTCCGATAATCCTCCCCGTTCCAAAATGCGATGCGCTTTGCGCATTATGCCGTTTACATGACCGCATATTGAATGCGGCAACTGGATTCAATGCGACTAAGTCGCATTCGTGTAAACGTGGCTTATGTTCTTTTTCGACATGTGTGGTGTCTGTAACGATAGCGGTGGTGAACGATGGACGTTTTTGTTGGAAGATGGCGGTCGTCTTTCTGCATGTATGATTTGGTTATACCGGTGGTCCTGTGGTATAAGCGTTTTGTTGGAAACACGGCAGTCACCTACGTCATCGGACGCAAAATCATACCAGCCACACCGAATCATATCGGCAAGCAAAGTGGCTGCCAGTATAGACAGACCCGGAGCCATAGCGGTGCCGGTATCTCCAGTTATGGAGAACGCCAAACCAAACTAGCTGCATGCATAACACAAAGAAATTATTTTGGTGTCATACCAGAACTGTACAAGCAGCAGGTTTGTTTCTTTTACGTTTTTCCAATAGGGATGTCATCGGAATATTCCAAATATTTGAACTGTTAATATCAAAGGGGCGTTTGGCGTCGTACAATCGACACCTTTAACCGATTGGTACATAGCTGCGCATCGGCACTTAGCTAACTAACCACCAAGCCTTCCTATATATCAAATTATAATATTTGAGACCTGTCTGTTTTTTCTGGTACTTCTCTTCAAAAAAAAACCCAGTCTCAGGGTAAACGACGAAATAATATTTGTGTCTGCTCTGTTTCTTTGTCGGTCCGTCAACATCGGTTTTTGTGGCACGACATTTTAGTATGATGTATCTACGGCAATTCCTGCAGGGACGCGGACTAAATATACACACAAGTCTGTACATTTAAGAGGGCAAATTATTTTAGCACGTGACAGGCGAGACGGAATGTCCAACGTGCCTGAATGTCCAACGAGACGAAAGATCCAACCGAGACGGAATGTACAACGAGCCTGAATGTCCATCGAGACGAAAGATCCAACCGAGACGGAATGTCCAACGAGCCTGAATGTCCAACGAGACGGAAGATCCAACCGAGACGGAATGTCCAACGAGCCTGAATGTCCAACGTGCCTGAATATCCATTATTGGATCTTTCGTCTCGTTGGACATTCAGGCTCGTTGGACATTTCGTCTCGTAATCCTCACGGAGGTCCCGCAGCTGGCGCGTCGTTACCCGGAATCCTGGCCCGGTAATCCTCCCGGTACTCGAGTCGGCTGACCCCGTTTCGGACCAGCGTTAACGCAGCCAGAAAGAAGGGTCCGGCTTAGCTCCGCGCCTAGGTGGGGGGACGCCAACACGGTGGTCCCACGGCACCCCCGTGTCGCCTCTCGCCTCGTTTCCGGGCAAGCCGACCGGAGCCATGTGGCGATGCTACTCAATGAGTTCATCGTTGCCGGACGGATTAGATAGGGAGGGTCTGGTCCGGGGCTTTTCCGTTTTCACAACAATGTATACTCATCAGTACACTAGCTTTTTTTCTTGTTTTGTTTGCGCTTCACTGGATATCTGTATAATAAACCTAATAAGAGTCCAGATAAGACATGTCCTGCATCTAATTTGTCTGTTGCCTATAAACATATAGATTTATTGCTCTGCATTTTGGCAATACGCTTTTTCGCTAGAATACAGAACACACAAGGCTCATAAGGTCACAACACAGAACACGAAACTGACTTCGGAACAATGTTGACACAAAGTATTGATGCCTGAGCATTAGAAGCCCCATTTCGAAGAAAAGCCCGCGTGGTCGACGTCGTCGGCGTAGTGTTCTGCGCACTGAGGTGAACGATGTAATTAAAAAAAAGACTTACAAAAAAGTTATATTTTGCATGATTTCTGTAGAATATATCTTGAGGGGCACATTCACAGGCATTCCCATAGTCCTCACACATGTCCCGTGTAGCTACACAGAGCGCCCCCTAGCGTGTTGCATCCCTACAGCAGCCCGCACAATGTCGCACTTGTCCTTATGGGATGCTAGGCTCTATCCCCACAGGCTGCAGGGTACCTACATCAACCCATAGAGTTTCCTACATGTCCCATAAAAGCCGGGGTTTTATCCCCACAGACTCTGTGGGTCACCTAAAGCACCCCCACGGGCTGTGTGGGTTACCCAAAGGAGCCCCCACAGGCTGTGTGGGTTACCCAAAGGAGCCCTTACAGGCTGTGTGGGTTACCCAAAGGACCCCACAGAGTAACCCGCATGTCCCATAGGCCCACAGGCCTGACCCCACAGAGATTTCAGGACACCCATACAACCCCATGGGTGCCCCATAGAGACCTCTAGGACCCCACACAAATTTTCTGTGGGTGCTCTGTGGGCATTTGGACCAGGACTTTAAAGATAAAAGAGAACCTGACTTACCCTGAGGCAATTGCCTCAGGGTAAGTCAGGTTCTCTTTTATCTTTAAAGCTAAAACCTTCTTTTCTTCTTGGAACTTTGAACAGGCTCGAGAGTAGGTGGGGTGGGAACCAGAGCAGTTGATACACTTGAGAAGTGTACCTTCGCATGTGTCGGCTGGATGGTCTGTGCCTCCACATTTAGCACACGTTGTTTTTCCTCGGCAGGATACCGAGCTGTGGCCAAATCTTTGGCACTTGAAGCATCGCCTTGGGTTAGGTATATAAGGGCGCACCTTGCAGTGGAGATAGCCTGCTTTAATGTTCTCAGGCAGTACGGTGGATGCAAAAGTGAGGACCAGGTGTTTTGAGGGTCTCTCCTGTCCATCCCTGCGTATTGAGATTCGTCGCAAAGCGACCACTCCCTGCCCGGAAAGGCCCTCCAAGATCTCGTCCTCGCTAGATTCTAGAAGGTCCTCCTCTGAAATGACGCCCTGGCAGCTGTTCAAGGTGCGATGTGGAGTGACAGATACTTTGTAATCCGAGATCTCGTTTAAATCTAAGAGAACCACACTCTGGACTCCGTTTTGTACTTCAACAAGCAGGTCACCAGATGCTAATTTCTTTGCTTTAAAGTTTTGACCAATTAAGTTTTCTAGAGTCTTTCAAATAAGAAAGGGTGAAAGCTTGGCAAGTGGTTTTCCATTTTGTTCCGAATGCATTACCAGAAAGCGGCTGAAGCTTGTGGGAAAGTTGCCTTGCTGCGTGCCCAACCCGGCGGAACAACACGGAGCCAGGATTTCGGAAAACGTGATGCTACATTTATTAGTAAATTGTAAACATGAAGTTAGTATTAACAAGGTCGTTTGGTCGACACCGCCGCAGCGTGTACCTTTCGCTCCAGGCCCCGCTTCTCTCTCCCCCCGTCGGCGTCCCCGCTGCTGCTTTTATGCGTTCTTTCACAGGGGGTAACGCCCCCCGCGCTCTTTACACACAGTGGCGCCCCTATAGCGTCCACACAATCCCCCCCTCAAAAGTCAGGCATGTCGATGACGTGCTCGTCCTGGTCGTTTGACCTCAGAAGTTGAGGACGTTGCCTTCGTACGACGTCGATGGCCCTCTGCAGCTCGTCGTGGTTCTGGAGCCTCGCAGCGCGGTCGGCAGCTTCCCGGGTCACGTGTAGGAGCCCCGCTCGGTGTGATTCTCGGGCGAGCTCCGGGACTCCGCACAGCGGACAGAGGAGCCTCCGTTCCTCTGCGGTGTATTGCGCCGCTGGATCGTTGGGGTGGCGGTCCTCCAATGTCAGTCCCCTGAAAGGCTCGGGGACGATGACGTGCGCCTCCCCGCGTTCTGGGCGTGGTTGTTCTTCCCAGGCTTGCCGGAATGCCCAGCCGACCGGTCCACCGTCGGTCTGCACCATCCATGTTGTCACGGTGGCTTGTGGCCGTCGCCGGCAGCGGCGGCAGAGGATGTGGAAGTCCGCGTTGCCCTGATCTCGTCGTGATGGCCCCGGCCCCTGTCCTTGTGGCCTGGGTGACCGTGGTCGCCACCTCGAATGGGTCCCCCGGCCCTGGTGGCCGTGGTGGCTGATATGGCTGCGACGGCCGCGGTGATGAGATCGCCACCCTCTCTCCATCTTCATAAAAATAAGAAACAGCCCGATGAGCGCAACATTAGGCGTGCCGCGCGTGGCCCCTGAAAATAAAAGTCAATAAGTGCTCTCAGGTGGGATATACCACCCCCCCCCCTCTCAAAAGGAGAACATATTCATGGGGTATGAACCGGAGAACGTTCAAAATTTTTAAGGGTGAAGAACAAATGTTTTTGTTAGTCGCTTCGTGATCTCCCTGTTAGCTGTCACCGACGTCGCAGATTGTACCGCCGGGGTGGCGGGGAGGGGGAATCAGGGACCCGACTGCTGCTGCCATCTGCTGGATCCTGCGAGAAATCTTCTTGGCTGTGGAATAGTTTTAGGTCGGTGACATGAATTGGTCCTGTGGACTGACCACTGGAGCAGCAAATAAGTGTGTATGTGAGCGGGGACAGCTTTTTGCCAACACGGAATGGACCCTCCCACCTGTTTGCCAGTGAGGCCGTGAATCCCCTTGTTGCATCACTCAGGGGATGAGTGCGCCTGAGCACGAGGTCTCCCACCTCAAACTGCAGGTTTCGGCGTCCCTGGTTGTACTGCTCGGACTGCTGCAGTCTGGCGACGTCGAGGCTCTCCCGAGCTTCTCTGAGGTTGTCCGAGAAGCGCTTGCGGAGGTCGTCTGCAAACTTCGAGTAGCTGCGGTATTGCGACGTGGGTTCTGTTGAGCGAAGAGCGTTCGAAAGCGGGAAGGCAAGTTCTTTGCCAAAATTTAGCTGGGCAGGGCTGAGACCGGTCGACCGGTTAACCGTGGTGTGAGTGGCGAAGGCCATTTCTGGGAGCTTCGCGTCCCAGTCCTTGTGGCGATCGGTATGCGCAACGAGCATCATCTTAAGGTTCCGGTTCACCCTTTCAGTGATGTTTGCATGCGGGTGATACGGTGATGTACGTTTATGCTCAATTCCCAGCACCGCACACGCATCCACGAACACCTTGCTAGTGAAATAAGAAGCGTTGTCGGAAATCAAACTCGTCGGGAATCCGAAGCGCGCGAATGTTTGCAGCAGACAATCCCAGATTTTCTGCGAGTCCAGTTTGCGCAAAGGGAACAGCTCAACCCATTTAGTGAAATGATCCGTTACCACGAACAAGTACTGATTTCCGCGAGGACTGCGCGGGAATGGGCCCATGACGTCACAACAACAGATCTGCCAAGGGCTCTGGCTTACGATCGGTTGCATGAGGCCTGGGGGTTGACCACCACGTGGCTTCGCTTTCTGGCATGACGGGCAACTACGCGCATACCTCAGTACATCTTGCCGCATTCCGGGCCAGGTCACAATTTGGGACAACTTATCATACGTTTTGCTCCCACTACTGTGTCCGGCTAGTGCGGAGTTGTGCATGTATGTGGTGAAAGACTTACGTAACTTTCTAGGTATCACAGTCCGGAACGCCGAGCTGCTCGGGTCGTCATCAGCTTGAGGGATGTAGCGCAACAGGAGCCCGTCGCTGCTCAGCAAGTACGAGTCGAATTGCTCGTCACTCGCTGCATTAACCGTGCTCGTTATTGCCAGCCAGGCGGTCACCCGCTGACACAGCCCGTCGTCCTGCTGAGCCTTGAGAAGTTCCTCTCTTGTGATCAGTGCTCCCCACCGTGATTCAGGTGATTCCTGCGTTGTGATGGCGACAGCAACCAGGCCCGGACCTTCCTGCGTGTGCTCCTCAGGGAGGGGGGCGCGGGAAAGAGCATCAGCAATTTTGTTTGTTGCACCAGGTCTGTACACGATAGTGTAGTCGTATCGCTGTAGCGTAAGCGCCCAACGAGCAAGCCGACCGGCAGGGTTCTGAAGCCTTTTCAGCCATGAAAGTGCTAAGTGATCACACTGAATTTGGAATGTTGCGCCGTCTAAGTACATGTCAAACCGCTTTAACGCATATACTATGGCCAAACATTCCCTTTCCGCCACACTGTAGTTCCGCTGGGCGGGAGTAAGTGTCTGACTTGCGAAGGCAACTGGCCGAAGCACACAGTCATGCTCCTGCAGCAGAACAGCACCCACGCCGATATCGCTTGCATCTGTCTGCAAAACGAAAGGTTGGTTTAAATCGGGAAGATGCAGACAAGCATTTTCAGTCACTGCCCCCGAGAGGGCAATGAATGCACTCTGTTGTTCAAAGTTCCAGTGCCACTTGATGCCCTTTCGAAGGAGGTGATTGAGTGGCTGAGATATCTCGGAACAGTAGGGAATAAAATCCCTGTAAAATGCAATCATACCAAGATACCTCTGCAGGCTTTTCACGTCATGTGGGCACGGATACTCCGTTAGCGCGCGAACCTTCTCCTCGTTAGGACGGAGTGTGCCATTGTCAACCACGAAACCAAGAAGATTGATCTTTGGCGCGGCCAACTGCACCTTTCCCGGGTGAATTGTGAGACCCGCGCTACGCATTCGCTCGAGTATTATTCTCAAGTGCTCGACGTGTTGTTCGAACGTGCGCGAGAAGACAACTACGTCATCCATGTATGCCATTGCAAAGTTGTACTTTGCGTCGCCAAGTACAACGTCCATCAAGCGTTGAAAACTCGCTGGCGAGTTTGACAAACCGAACGGCAAACGGGTGAACTCGAATAATCCTCTGTGGCAGATGAACGCCGTTTTCTGCACGTCCAACGGGTGAATCTCGATCTGAAGGAACCCGCGGCTGCAATCGAGCGTTGTAAACACAGTCGCGTTACCGAGCGCGTACATTACAGAGGAAATACTAGGGAAAGGGTAACTGTCCCGTACAGACACGTCGTTAAGGCGTCTGTAGTCTACACAAAGCCTGGCGGTTCCATCCTTTTTTGGAGCAAGGACCACAGGAAACGCCCAAGGGCTCTTTGACTCACGTACTGCACCGGTGTCAATCATCTCCTCGAGTGCCGTGTCCAGGAGTTCCCTTTTGTGCACGCTGATGGGGCGCGGATTGCACCTCCAGGGCGGAGCGTCACCGGTTTCAATCCGATGCAGCAGGATGTCTGTCTTTCCTGGTCGCTCCGTGAACATCGGAGAGAACGGCCGCAGGACGTCCTCCAGCTTAATCTTTTGAAGGTTATTGGCCGGGCACTTCTGTAGTGCAGCGTTAATGCCTGCAGGCAGGAAAGCTGGGGCCGCTGTGAAGTGGGTCGGGAGGGTTGGGCCGGTAATGCAGTCCTCTCGCCTGGTAAACGGAGTGAGCTCCGTCTGGCTTCCTAGCCGGTAGCCTCCACCAGGGAAATCAAGCGTCATGTTCTCGCCTGCAATAAAATCTCGGCCCAAGATTACGGGTACGGCGAGCCCCGGTAGATAAAGAAAGCGCTGACGCCGTGTCTTTTCGTGGAAAGAAATTTTGAGCCTAACGGCTCCACCCGCTGGTTTTGCGAAACCAGAAGCTAGCTGCAAAAGAGTGTCAGATGGACGGAGCGTTATTTTTTTAGATTTGCATAGCTCATGTGCGTCGTCACCAATAAGCGAGATAGCGGCCCCCGTATTCAAAAGCGCGGCAAAAGAAAAACCAAGCAAGGTAATCGTCATGCGCGGTTCGATTATTTTTGCGATAGGCTGCAATCGACATACGGATGGAGCAAGCGTAACCCTTTGTGTGTTCCCAGGTGTCGTATTTGCCGTCGTCGGCTGTAATGTGGGATTCAGCGACGCCGGCCGTAATAGTTTCCCGACTGAGTTTCTCTGTTACTGCCCGGATTTTCACGGCCTCTTACTTCTCGAGGGTTGGCCGGGACTTGATAATCCCTCTCGCCACTTCCAGCCCTTCCGCCATTTGTTTGATTCTGCATTGACGATGCATTTGGGCACTCTCTTTGGAAGTGACCGCGCTGTCCACAATTGTGGCAGCGGTCCGAATACCTGTCTTGAGCCACCTGCACCAGGGCGCTCTTCGGACATCCTCCAGTGGCCCCGCATTGAACCAGTACTGGAGTGCCTCCGGCTGCTTTCATGGGCCATTTTATGCCCGTCCCGTGGAGGTCTTTGTGTCGGGTATGCTTCGGCGCCTGTCCAAGCACATGCGGGTTCAAGAGAGTTTTCTGGCAGTGGCGGGGGCAGATAATTCTGCTTAGCGAGGAAGATCTCCTCTGTGCCGCGGGCATGCCGGGCCAGCTCTTCAAGGGTCCCAAAGGTGCGGCCGTGTAAGTAGGCGTGGTATTTTGGGTGACATTGCCTTATGACCCGAGCTATACTCTCCGACTCGAGGGCATCAGGTTTCGCCCTTCTTGTGAGTTCCTGTATTGCGCGAACATATTGAACCAGGTTTTCGTTCGGATGTTGCGTTCGGGACTCGAGTTCTCTCAGAATTTGATACTCGTAACCAGGGGGCAGGAACTCATCTCGGAATCTCCGCTCAAACTCCGCTATGCTCGTGAATGTGGTTTGCAGCCTTAACCAACACGCAGCACTTCACTGTAGCGCAAGCGGAAGTATTCTCTTAATAATGAGAGATTCCGAGGCGCCCGAGGCGGCTTTGTAGGTGTCCAACTCACCCAAGAAGTCAGCGACTGACTTGGTGTCGCCGTAGCCAGTGTAGACCGGCACCGTCAGCTGGGGGTGTAGCTCCGGCTCACGGGAATGCTGGACGGCGAGGCGCTGTGTGACCACATCACACATGGCTGCCACCTTCAAAAGCAGTTCGGCTTGCGCATCCGCCGAGCTCGTTCCGGGATTCCCGCTTGCTTCGGGCTTTTCGCCATCCTTCGTCTCGGACCGTAGTGTGGGAGACATGGCGGAAAAAAAACAAACGCAAAGCAGACAAGAAAAAGGGTGTGCGGCAACGGACGGTAACTCGACTAACGCAAGATCAACACGCCCCCAAAGCGTCGCCCGCGTGATTAAGCAATGCTTTGCGGCTCCAATTCAACGGGCAATCGCGCTGTCGTGAATACACGCAACGCCGACACGGTGCACTACTTCGAAGAGAAACGCCACGGTTGAAAAATCTTACCTAGCGATGAAACCCCAGACCCGCGTCATTTCGACAGGAGGGCAGCAAAACACGTTGGGCGCCATGTGGGAAAGTTGCCTTGCTGCGTGCCCAACCCGGCGGAACAACACGGAGCCAGGATTTCGGAAAACGTGAAGCTACATTTATTAGTAAATTGTAAACATGAAGTTAGTATTAACGAGGTCGTTTGGTCGACACCGCCGCAGCGTGTACCTTTCGCTCCAGGCCCCGCTTCTCTCTCCCCCCGTCGGCGTCCCCGCTGCTGCTTTTATGCGTTCTTTCACAGGGGGTAACGCCCCCCGCGCTCTTTACACACAGTAGCGCCCCTATAGCGTCCACAAGCTATTCGGGGCTGTAGCTGATGAGTCTTTGGTAACTACTTCGGTCCGGACCCTTTTCAAGGTCCGATCGGGAGAGGTGTTTTGCTTAGAACCCATATGAAGGGTAAAAACTTCGGCATCCGTAGCGCACCACCCACCGCGGAGTCCAACAAGGGGATAGGTAACATCTCATAACAGGTCTGGCTTGTCTGAGTATGCTACTCTACCAGTGCTACTAGGAAGCTATAACCAAGTGTGGATCAAGAGAGAGTTCTGTCGCCACCCACGGTTAGCCCTTGCCGCCAAAGAAGGTGAAAACGAAGAATAGGAGAAAGGAGGAAAGAGAAAGAAAAGAGCGGATATAGTAGAAGAAATGGCGACTGACTGCATCATCCTGGTCGGGCCAAGCCAGGACACCCGTCTACGAGAAGCGGGGGCCAAAGTGGTGTGTTGCCTCTCCCGGGGGCCCCCGAAGGGTCCAAACCTACCCCGGGTTCAGCTCAACCAGCGGGATGCCCTTTTCCCCGGACACGGGCTCGCCACGCACAGCCAGACGTGGGTGGGTCTTAGCCACTTTTTACTCAGGGTCTGTGGTGTTGCCAATGTGGCTGGGGTCCGTGGTGACGCTACTCACCAAGCACCTAGCACCTAAGGTGCAGGTGCCCCCTGCGGGGCTCGAAGTCCGTGGAGACGCCACTCTCCAAACACCTGTTTTCACAAGTGCCCCCTGCGGGGTCCGTTGCGAATGGTAGCGTCTACACAACACCAGAGGAGGATCATGGTGAAGACGAGGAAGGGACCACTGGAGAATGGTAAA